ATTTTCAACTCAATTGCCAATCAAAAGAAAGTATCGAATCGATTAAAAATTATCCAAATCAATCAAATTCACCCACAAACCATTGGTCATCGTCTTTTGATAAGCCTAAAAAACGCAGTGATGGCGCTTTTAGAGATGCTGATTGTTTCTCCTACTTCGACAATAAAAGACTTCGATACATTTGGGACGAGGAAAGTCAATCATTTGTTAAGCTCAGTGGACTTGATAGAAATGTCGATTGCTCATTTTTTTATCATCAACATGGACTTTCACCAGCTGATCAATCCAAAAGGTGATTATGATTATCTAACATCTTATCTCATCTAATTAACCTTTAAATTGATTATGAAAAAAGTAGTAAAAATTGAACTTTACAGTTATCTTTCCTGATGAACTATCTTTTATTATTTAGAATCTTGAATAATCAAGTCTTCAATTACAAGATTAAATTTAATTAGCCCTTAATTAACAATGTTGTAAGCTGAGGCAATAATGTTGACTCATTTTGAGAAAATAATTGTTATTCATCTGGATTATCATGAAACGTAAGATTATTAATTACCTGATGAAATAATTACCTACGTAAATGAAATAATAGATTAGTTGAAAGCTATTCTGTTTATCATTAAAAGGATAAATCAATGGATTAGATTAAGCTTTTTTTGGCGCTTTTTTAAATCAAGTTCCAAATTAGATTTGATTAATCAGTAAGATTTTTAATAAGTTTAACTTTTTCTTTTCTCTCCTAGACTGAAATTGTTTGGACCAAATGCTATTGTCGTCGAAGTACAATCGATCCTTCAAGTATTTTTCAATGAAGTTCTTGAACCTTTCTACGTTTTTCAAATCTACAGCATCGTTCTTTGGTGTTTCGATAACTACTATTATTATGCTTCTTGTATTCTCATGATGTCAGCTTTATCATTGGGATCATCTCTTATCCAAATCCGTCGGAATCAGCGGCAACTTCGTGATACAGTTCAAGGTGTTGACGCGGTTACAGTTTGTCGGGGTAATGATGAAACGGAAGAAATTGAATCAAGTGATCTTGTTCCCGGAGATGTAATAATTTTACCTCCATACGGATGTATAATGCAATGTGATGCAGTTCTAATTAGTGGTAATGCCATTGTTAATGAATCTGTTCTTACGGGTGAAAGTGTTCCAGTTACCAAGATTCCACTTTTATATCATGAAGATGATTTTTATAATTCTAAGGAACATGGTAAACATACTTTATTCTGTGGTACTAAGGTCATTCAAACTCGTTACTATGATAGCTCAAAGGTTAAAGCGGTGGTCATTCGTACTGGTTTTCTAACCTCAAAAGGTGAACTGGTTCGATCTATTATGTTCCCAAAGCCGGTTGATTTTCATTTTAATCGTCAAATATATAAGTTTATTTTATGTCTTGTGGTTCTCGCTGGTCTGGGTTTCATCTATTCTGTGATATTAAATGTTAAACGTGGTGTCTCCGCCAAGGAAATTTTTCTCAAAGCATGTGACCTGATAACGGTTGTTATACCACCTACCCTGCCCGCTGCGATGACCATTGGTGTTGTTTATGCTCAATCACGATTAAGACGTTCTAATATTTTTTGTATCTCACCAAGATCCATCAATATCTCCGGTTGTTTGGATTGTGTTTGCTTTGATAAAACTGGTACATTAACTGAAGATGATCTTAGCTTTTCCGAGATTATTCCAGTTGATCCTATCACATCTCGATTAACCTTTCCCGTTCGTAATCCGTCTCAATTACCCACTGGACCAATATTATCTTGCCTGTCAACCTGTCATTCATTAACAATTATTGGAGACAATTTAGTCGGCGATCCATTGGATTTGAAAATGTTCCATGCAACCGGATGGATATTGGAAGAACCTTCAGTTGATGACGAAAATAAATATGATCTATTAGCACCGACAATCGTTAAACCAGGAAATTCTGGTATCGATGCTGATGAGGTGATAAACAACGATATTGAGATTGGCATCTTGCGACAATTTCCTTTCTCATCTAGTCTACAAAGAATGTCAGTTATCACTCGTCTCCTTGGAGACGATCATTTTGTCCTTTACGCTAAGGGAGCACCGGAAATGATCTCTAAATTGTGCCTTAAGGAAACCATACCCTCCAATTTTTCCGACATCCTAATGGGTTATACGGAAAAGGGTTATCGTGTTCTGGGTATTGCATCTCGTGATCTTCATTTATCTTACTCTAAAATGCAACGAGCACCTCGAGAAGAGATTGAACAAGATATGAAGTTCTTGGGTCTTCTTGTCATGTCCAATGTCCTCAAACCAGAAACAACTTATATCATTCAAACACTTTCAACGGCTAACATTAGATCGGTCATGATTACCGGTGACAATATGTTAACAGCTCTAAGTGTAGGTCGGGAATGTTTAATGATTAAACCAAATGATAAGGTTGTATTGTTGGACGCAATTGAACATGATTCATCTGCACTATCACCTCCATCGTTAACTTGGAGATTTGCCAATGCAGATCATCAATCAGCAACAAAACCCTTTGAAAACAATGGCAACAATAATAATCATCATAACGATCATCAACTTAAATCAACTAGTTTAGATTTTGTTAAGGTTGTCATTGATTCTGATGAGAAATTACATATCGCTATTACTGGTAAAACATTTCGAGTACTTCGTGAATATTATCCTGACCTTTTAAACAAAGTAGCCATTCGTGGCACCATTTTTGCTCGTATGGGACCAGATCAGAAACAGCAACTTATCGAGCTTCTTCAAGATTTAGGCTATTATGTTGGTATGTGCGGTGATGGTGCCAACGATTGTGGTGCTCTCAAAGCTGCTCACGCAGGTATCTCACTATCAGATACGGAAGCATCGGTGGCCTCACCTTTCACCTCAAAGACACCAAACATTTCCTGTATACCTGTTTTAATTAGTGAAGGTCGAGCCTCTCTGGTAACGGCCTTTGGTATCCTAAAATACATGGCCTGTTACAGTCTTGCTCAATTTATTTCTGTAATTATTTTGTACGCTGTAAGTATTGATACGAAAAAATTTCCTAAACACTTATTAATTACAACTAATTAATCAACAATTTTTATTCCCTTTCTCTTAGTATCATTCAAATCTATCAGATATGGAATATCTTTATATTGATCTGTTTTTAATCTCTCTTTTCTTCGTTCTTTGTGAGTATTATATTGACAACAATCAATATCATAATCGAGAGTCACACTCTATTATTATTACATAATTGTAATTGTTTTTCTCATCTCTATTATTGTCATATTATTTTTGGAAAAATCAGTTGGTCGCACTGAGTCTTTCACTGAACTTTCAAAGAATCCTCCTCCGTCCTCTTTGGTTGGAATTGTTCCTCTTGCCTCCTTATTCCTGCAAATAGTTATCATAATCATCTTCCAAATGACCGCAGTGGTTGTTTTATGGGCCCAACCCTGGTACATTGTCCACACTCCGATTGATGAGGAAGATGTCGCTTGTCACGATAATTATGCCATATTTTCCGTCTCCGTTTTCCAATACATAAGTCTTGCTCTGGTATTTGCCAAAGGAGCACCTTACCGGAAGCCAGTTTACTCCAATAGTTAGTTTTAATTACAATAATAATAACAAAACACTCTACTTAATTAATAGCATCACAGACTAACTAATGTTTATCTTAATTCCTAATCATACAGAATGGTTCATCTCAGCTATAGTGGTTATGACTATCTTAACTTCTTACATAATTCTCATTCCTCCGCCATGGCTTTCTTCACTTCTAGAGGTAAATTGTCATGATTAACATAAATCAACATTGATATTAATTATCTTCTTTATCCTTTTTCTATTATCTTTCAGCTGGAGGTTACTGGTGTTGCCATGGAGTTTAGATTTTTCTGTTTACTCTTGGCTTTATTAAATTTTATCTTTTCTTACCTTGCTGAGGTTCGTTGATTTAATTATCTATACACTTTGAATGGAATTAATTCTCTCTTTTTATTTCTACCCCTTTCTCTTTCTATCATTTCAATAGTCCTTTATTGTTGATTATTTAATCCACGTTAAATTGCGATCACTTCAATGGGTTAAATCATTTTCTGGTCAAAAACCTTATGAGATAATTGAACGTGAGACTGAAAACAACACTACTTGGCTTCCACCGAGACTTAGGTAAATATAACTAATTCATTGAAGAGATTTTGTTTTACCATTATACAAGATTAATAATCCTTTTTTTTTTACTACTCTCACAAAGATTAAGTATTTAGATCATAATTCTTGGCAAAATGTTAAACCTCTTAATCCTTTTTCATTGACTCTCTAGTCTTACATGTCTATGTCTGACTTTTTCCAAGTTTATTATTATTATTTATTAACACTAATATTGTTTCTTTGTTTTCTTTTTTTTCTGTTCAGTCTCCCATCAAGTTTATCAGATCTTCAAGAAGCTGCTACAATTATGTGTGAAAATGGAGATGATGACATTGATTCAGGAAAAAGGAAACATTCAACCGATGCAAATGGAATTTCCTCCAAAGAATCTAATTCAGAATCTGGCATCTCTCTTTCATCTCCAGCATCAATGGCATCGGATAAAGTTTAATTTCTTCAAGATAACGATTTTGTTAATTCTAATTATCGATAATATTTACCAATAATAATCAAAGAGACAACAAAAAATTGTTCTGTTCATAAACTATACACAAATTGAGATACAAAAAAAAATAAGAATTATGTTCATTGATTAATATATAATATTTGTAATACATTGTCTTTCTTATTTGTTATTAATCTTCAAAAAGCTTAAATTGCTATTTGAAGTTAAGTTTGTTTTATTTTCTAATCTATTAATTATAACATCGAGAGTTAACCAAATGATTAAAAGGTCTCCGTTTCCCATAACCGAGACCAATTGTAGAAACTTTTCAATCAACTCTCATCTTAAAACCGGTAAACTTTTAAAATTGAAAAAAAAGTTTCCATCTCAATCAGAATTTGATTAAGAAAAAAAGTTCGCTTTTAATCATCGGAAGCTTAACAATTAAATCTTTTTCCAGCTCGTTTAGATTGAATGGATTTTCTTATCCATTATTTATCTTTGAATAAGTTACCTTTTTTTTTGTTTGGAAATTAAGTAACTTTCTCACTGATGATGATAACAATTAATCTGAGTGTTAATTAGACAAATTGAAGAGTAACACTGATTAATAATTCTTGAAACATTGCATTTGAAGTTGAGCTTCAGCGATATCTTGAAGAGCTTTTTGTATCTGTTCCAATAGTTTCTCTCCTTTGGCGACAGTTTCCTCTAATCTTTGAGCCGCTTCTTGATTTTCTGCCTCTAATCTTTTCAAATGCGAAGCCTGAATACACAAAATGAATAGAAAAAAGATTAACAAAGAGAAACAATGATAAATATCACCATCAAAAGAATATTAAAATTAATTGTTATGAGAATCTTTTTGTTTACCTGAAGCTCTGGTGTTGACTCTTCACTTGGAAGTGAATCAATAAGAACATCGATATCTTTGGCTGTTCTTGCAATTAATTGAGCAAATAATTGGGGATAATCTTCACCGGGAGATGAATCTTCATTAGCCGATGCCTTGGATTTCTCGAAATCAGGGAAAAAACTTGGCTTGGAAAATTGTTGAATTATACCAATACTATTGCAGAAATTTTCAGCCTGAATGTTGACAGCATCTTGGATTTGAGTTAATCTATCGGCCATAATAGTTGGGGGAAGGAAACAAAGTTGAACAATCACAGAAACACACACAGGACAATTAGAAAACAAAACAATCAATTAATTAGCAAGATTAATGAAGCAATTAAAAGAAAAATAGACAATTGAGTTAAATGATGATTAAATTGTCAACAAAAAGAAACAATAACAAAACTGAAAAGAGAATGAGAGTCAGCGCCATCTGGTGAATTATCGGTCAACCAAAAAACGAAGAAAAAAAATTTCGAAATTGATTTAACTAAATCGATTACAATTACGATTTAAAGGGTTAAATTTTTAAATTAGTGAATAAATGATCACTTGCCTGATTAATTGATTGTTGGTAAAGTTAATTTGAAGATTTAAGTTGAAAAGGTGATTCTTATAGTAGTGGAACCAATTTATTGGATGTTTAACTTTTCAATTGTTTTTTTTTGTTAATCAACCAATTAATTGATTCATTAGCTACTTAATTGTTTTCAATTGTGTATAATTGTTAGAATGAAAGTTAAGGTTAAAGAAAGAAATTAATTAAATAAAACAATTTAATTGAAAATCGAGGATTTCAATTGGCATGAGTATCAATTGGTTCCATTGAGATTGTTAAGATGACCACTAATCTATTGTAGTGGTCAGTTAAACCTTGACTTAACAGAAGGAGAGAAAGAAAAAGTTTAATTAATTAAATAATTGTTTGTGTATTAATTTATTGTGTCAAATTGTGATTATTGTTTATCTCTTAATATCCAAATTGAAACCTTGAATAATCTCAAATGAAAGTGTTAACAACTGACCATTGGCTATTTCGAGAAGAAGAAGAAGAGAAAAAAACAAATTCGAAGGAAAAAAAAAGTTAAGAGAGAGAGAAAGAAAAAATTATATTAACCATGATTGACCATTTGCTGTGGACACTGAAAACAATAATTAATATCTCTCAAGATAGAGAGTTGAAAATATCAGAAGCAATTGAAGTTAAACAACCTTGAAGGTGAACAATTAGTTAATTGTTTGACTAATTCAATTTTTGATTTGTTTTCTTTTATCATCTTTAATTGTATACAAACACATGGGTTAGAAGCATGGAAACATCCGCTACACCTGATGATGATGATGATGATGATGATCTGTTCACAATTAACAAGGAGATTTACCCAAGGACAATTAACCAATTGATTTAAACAAAACAAACGAATCATCATCACCTTAATCATTTGAGTTTAATATCGTGAGTTTCATTGTAATAATAATAATCAAGAAACAAGAGAAACAATTGACCAAAAACAATTTCATCATCTTAATGATCAACAAAAGGATAAATTGATTAACACGGCAGCGATTAAAGAAATTAAATTGTAAAACCAATTAGACCAAGAAAATGCAAAATGATTTAAATTGTGAACCAATTGTGAGCAATCAGTAGTAACTTTCAATTGAGAAAACGTTTTGAAAGTGAAACAATCAAAATTTACTACGAATCAAATAGGAACCACGATTTTGCTTGAATCGTTTTTTTTCTTACCTGAAGATGAAAATGAGAGAGAGAGAGAGAGAAGCAGAAGAAGATGATGAAAACGCCCTTACCTTTATCTTCCCTTGGAAAAAGAAAGAGACAAGTTAGAGTACTACAAGTGCCCTTAACCCGCCTTCTCTTTAAAGAGACTTGTTATCTTCTCTTTCTTTACTCTCTTTTCCTTCATCTTCTCTTACACTCTGAACTTAGAATTTATCTTCATCTCTCTCTCTCTCTCTTTTCTATCATAAATGTTCATTCTAACCAAATGATACCTTCAGTTTAGATTAATCTTCAATTCTAATAACAACATTATGATTATCGATTCCAACGAGTAACAATTAACTGGGTTAACGAAAAACTTTGAACTGAATAAAAAGTTTTCCATTTTCTTTCCCATGTTAATCAATCGGATTTAATTTTGGTTGGTGATTTTTACCATTCGACAAGTGACAATAATCCTAATCAAGTTGATACTTTTCTTAGAACAAATTAAAAATTGTGAAATCGAAAATTTTTTCTGTTCTTCTTTTTTTAGAAACTTTTTTGTTTCTGTTATTTGATGAAAGTTCTTGGTCCAGGTAACAATTTATTACGCTTTTGGTCGTGATTTTAATTATCTAATCTCATCAATCATCTTTAAGTGACTTTTTATCCACTGAGACTCAGGGAGCTGACCAAATATACATAATAATCAAGTATCTCAGTTGTTAATTCAATTGAAACAATCACAAAAACAGAGACCGAGAGAGAGATAGAAGAAGACAAAAAGACAAATAAACATCATCATCATCATCATCATCATCATAATCATCAGAGGAAGTCGTTGATAGAATCTTTTTTTTTCTCTCTCTCTCTCTCTTCTTATCATCATCAACTCTTACCTGTTGCTTGTTTCCTCTCTTATCTTCATCTTTCATTCTTACCTTTCATTTTCATTCATCTTCATCTTCATCTCTCTCTTTCTGTCTCTCTCCTTTCATTCATTTTGACGAGTCAACTAAAAGATTCCGTTGACTTTGTGAGCAAGTGAAAAAAAAGTAACATTCAACATCATCATCTCAACAATCAACACTGATTATCAACTGGGCAATTTAAGGTCCAGGTCAGTATTTGAAACTCTCAGTTCTTAGTGCTGGTTAGACCGTGACAATCAACTAACATCCTTTGACAATTTACTCTGCAAATTTCACTCACTCATCATCATCTTTATCCCATTGGTAATCCTTCATTCATCCAATAGTTGATATAACAAAAAAAATAACAATCGTGATTGTCAACAGTCAACAAACAATCAAAATTACAATCAATTGAATGTTTATCATAACGTTTTCATATCATTGAATAACGTTCATCATTATTATCTAGAATCTGTTTCTATTACCTCCCTGTCATCATTCAATATTGTAAATTGATAATCTAATCAATCTAATCATCTCAACATGATTGAATTTAAATTCTGGACTATTGTTACCATTACATTGACCTGGGTAATTCAAATTCAATCCCAACAACAACAACAACAACAGTCACAACCACAACAATCAAAACTTCAACAACGTCAAGGTAAATATATTGATCATTATTATAGTGAATTTTGTTTTCTCTCTAATTATCACAATTTAATCAAACGGAAGTTAACGGTTCAACGATTTAAGAAAAATTTAGAAATGAATGAAGAAAAAAAAACTTCACAATCAATTGATTGATTTAGATCGTTTAACTTTCTATTATCAAATTATAAATACTTTCCTTTTGATACTAATCAAGTTAATCATTAACATTAGAACCATTAAAAATTAGTGTAAATATTGAAATAATAGTAATCAAATATATTAGTAATTGATTATCACAACAATTTAATAAGTTTGATAAGTTTAAATTGTAAACTTATTATCCTTGAGTAATTAACTTTTCCCGTCTGGATCAGTGTTGAAGTGTTTCAAATTTAATTGGAAACTTTAATCTTATATAATAAGTGATTGTGATTATCACAATTAAATTTAATTAACTAATACTGATAATATTGTATTGGAAACTGTCAAATTTTGATTATCATTTAAATTGTCGGGATTTTTGTTGATCATCATAATAAGTAATTCAGCTGATTTCAAGTCACTTTTGATTTGTCTCCTTGGGGCTTTTGTTGATGTTTTTGTTTTTTTTTCATATGTACAAGATGATGAAGATAAATAGGAAGATGAGGATGAGGATGATATTTAAAACATTGGAGATTGAGAGTTAATTATTGGGAGGAGAAGATTTTTATTCTTTTGTTTTTTTCTTCATTTTCGCCATCATTTACCTTTATATTAAATTCTGTGATAGAAATTAGTTTTCCATCTCGAGATTGGAAAAAGAAAAGTAAAACTTATGATATTAATTAACTATCTTTAGTTGATGCGAGAGAAATTGATTAAATGATGGAAATTAAATTGAGAAATACAAATGAATATATCAAATTAATAATTACACCGTTTCAATCACTTGATTGTCTTAAATGTAAGTAACAATTAACCAAGTAATTGTGTAATTATATAGCACTTTCAATCACCTATCATAACAGATAACACATCATATTGATTAACAATTAAATTAAGAAAACATTATCAAGATTTACAATTAACCTTTCATTTTAATATCAATATGAATATGTATTAAGTTAATCAATGAAATGGATTAATTTTATTTCCTTAGGCAGTTAATCATTCAGTTGGATGTTTTAATTGTTAAACTTGATCTAAGAAACATTTTCATATGTCTCACTTAATACATAATAAGTTTGATTGTTTGAAAATCCCTTTTGGTTAACTGATCAACCACCAGCAATTAACTTTTAAATTGTTGTCTGTTACCGCTGGTGATCTGTAACAAGGCAATTGAATTGAATGGTTGATTGCTTGGATCATTAATCGTTATTATTATCTATCAGAAGCTGTCAATCGTTTTGGTGACTATTTAATCATCAACGTCATTGTTAAATTATCATCATCGCCATCATGATCAATATGATAATTTAGTAAACAACAAAACTTATTGTCATGAATAATATTATTTTCATATTCATGATTACTTAATCAATGTAATCTGCCAACCTTGAACAATTCTGATAATATTATTATCATTAATATAAAGAGCAACAAAACAATTGTACCTTACGGTCAACAGGCCAGTTTACCGTTTCTTTTTTAAATAATAATAATAATAATCATCATCTTCATCCTACTCGCCCTCTCTCAGGTTATTCATAATATAATATGAAAAAAAAATAGGAAGATATTTTTTTCTGATCGATATAATATTCACCAAAAAATTTTGATAGAGTTCAGGGCTACCCCGGAACTTGAATTCTGATTCTTTGGGTAACTAACTGTCTATTGTTACCTGGTGATTGTTATTTTACCTCTTTTTTTTATATATATATATACATCAGGATGATTTAGGATAACCAGTCATCATCATCATCCTCATCATTTTTATCATCTAAATTTGTAGCATGAAAAATATCAGGTAAATGAAAATGATCAACAACAGGTAGGCTGACCAATTACTGTTTCACTGTCTGATTACAATTTCATGATTAACTTGAATTAAGTATAATACATAATAACAAATTGTTCAATGAGCACTGAATTATTATTATGTGCTTGAGTTTAGTACAAGAGAAACGCTCAGATCATCTGTAATCAGATTTAAATTGTTGTGATCAAACTGAATACCTGGAAGATGAAGACAATTCAATAGCAAATGAATAATGATGATTATGGTTTACAAAGTGTCTTGTCTAATATTACCTGTTGATTGCAAGTTGATTTGCATCTCGTTTTTTTTTTGTATTTCTTTTCAACAATTGAGATTTAATCTCCATCTCTGAATAGACAAAATTAATTTCAATTGATAACTATTAACAAATCACATTTCATTTTATATTTATACCATTAATAGTATACAGAAAAAGCAATTACACAAAATTGTACCAATGGTAAAGGTTAAAAGTAAAAAGAAGATGAAGAAAAAAAAATTGAAGGTCAAGGTAACACGATAAGTTTGAATCAATTGTTATCAATTTTTTGGCAATATCTAAGTAACTATGTAAGTAGACTATCATCATCATCATCCCTATCATCTTCATTTCCATCTTCATCATTAATAATAATGATGATGACGATAAAGGTATGGGAGTGAACTTACCCGATCACCTTAATCCAGGTATGAAAAAAAAGAGATGAGGATCCATTGCTACTAAATTACAGGGGGACGATGGATGATAAAAGTATTTTTATCATCATCATCATTATCGTCATCATCTTATCTTCATCTTTATCTCTATAACACCTCAATTGAAAAACAGAGAGAGATGAAAGATTATCTTTGTAAAAATTTTTTCCCTATTCCATTGTGATGATAATGATAATCTTTCAATGCGTTTTTTTGCCTTCGCACCAAAGTTATCATATATTTAGATTGACATTGAAATATTATATATATTTTTTTCACCATCAATATAAATAATCATAATAACGACGGTAATGATTAGTAAATTTTTTCATAGTTTAACAGGTAAGGACTGTAGTTTTTTTTCAATCTAAACCTTGTTACCTTGGTACACAGGGTAAGTAGATGGAAACAAAGTTTTGTTGTTTCTCATTTAGTTACAAAATAAACTATTAATTTGACAGTTTAATTGGTTGGTAAATTATTTGCAATCAATTTCAATGATTACAACTAATATCCCTTTTTTAAATTCGCATTGTCATTAATTTAGTTACCTGTTTATCATTAATTGTTTTAGATGATTTCTCTTACTTTACTATTAATATTATTCAATTCTTATTGCTTATGTTAATTGTTTTGATTATTTCATTGACCTTTCCAATGGTAATTGATTAATTGTTGCTCGTAACTACTGACGATTAATAAATTGCGATTGAAAAGTTTTTTCATTCGTAAATTTTGTTTGTTTATTTTTTTTCACCTGAGATTTAATCGTCTCAATGTTTTGATTGCTTTGTCATGATTAACCAACGTTTAATTGGTTTGTTTCCTTGTTTGATTATCTTGATAATTGTTGTTGTAGCAAATTAAAGGGTCAAGTTGTTTGGTTAATTAGTTAATTGTTGATTAGAAATGATTAGATTTTCTTTTTCCGGAATCAACTTTTGTTTATTCTGAAAATTTTTCTTTCTTTTTCTCTTTTTTTACCTGAAAATTTCAGCTCAATGACCACACCTTTTAACGTTCCTAGTAACAAATTACCTTTATGATAACAAGTTTATCCTCATAATCATCCTCATCCTCATCCTCATCTTCATCTTCATCTTCATCTACAGTAAATAAACAAAAACTCATCATCAGGTATCAAATTTAACATCACTTTTTAAACGTGTTCATGTCAACAGGTAACATTTTCATGGCGATTGTTTGAAAAAAAAAGTTTTCTTTTAATATTATTACTTTTCCTCTAGATATGAATACTAATTAATTAACTTTAATCACTTGAGCATAATCATCCTTATCATCCCATTCTTGGTCCAGCGAAAGTGACCCTAACTGACCTTTAGAGTGAAACAATAAATGCTCATTCAATTTCAACCCTTTTTTTATGATTCATCATATTTATGGATATAATTTAGGAAGTAATCTTGATAATCTTTATCTTTCCTGGAAACAGGAAAAGGAAGCAGTTGATTAACAAGTTATTTTTCATGATGATGGTGAAAAAAATGTACCATGTAATCATTTTGGATTCATTATCCAAATAAAATGGGTTAAAATGGTTGAAATAGTGAAAAAGAAAACAATTTTTTCCCAATTCGGATCAGTACAAAATGATCATTATTATCAATGGTCAATCCAACTAACTGACCATCACTAAATCACTTAAGTAAAACAATCCAAAGAAACAGTTTTTTCATCCTTGATTGAAAATTATTGTTCAGTATTTATTTTGATTACTATTTAATTGGCAATCAACCAATTGGAATGACAATTAATTTGTCAACTATCAACATTCACCTTTAGTATGTGAACAATATGATTAGTTAAATTGTTTGTTAATCTTTAGCCAATCAACAAGTTTGAACCGAATCTTGATTTTTTGTTTGATTGTATTGGTCAAGTTGATAATCTTGTTTGATTAATTATCATTTATGTTGATTGTTTGACCACAGATTATGTTCATCAGGAAGAGATGATAAATTTTAGTTAATTTATCCTAAAAAAACGATAGTAACAATTTAGCCTCAGGCTTAATTGTTAAGATACATACACTCGTTGATCCTTAGCTTAATCATAATATTTTAATTGTCAATTTAAATTACATGTCGTCATCTTTAATTTTATCATCATCAGTATCATTTAAACATCAAGAAATTGATAAAGATGACAACCTAATATTACCAATGGGTCAGAGTTAAATTGTTTGGTCAAACATTTAAATTGTTCATATACTATTACAATTTAAACTAAATCAAGAGTAACCTTAACAATCTGATTAAATGATAATCATGATTAGCAGCCTAACCAATGTGTTTCCTGGTTACTTGATAGTAACAATAATTATTATCATTCACAATCAGGATTACGATCATCATGATTACCTGAGTACAACAATTTAGTTGATTATTTTATACAACAATCATGATTATGACATGGAAAAGTTAATCCAAATGATGATCATGATTAAAAAAAGGAGACATAGGAATAATATGATTAACTTGATGATAATCATAACAACAATTTAAGAATCAAATTCATAATAATTGGATTAGAAATTTTTTTTTCTTTCAACAATTTAAATCAACTCTTAATTCTGGTATGATTATTGTAACAATTTCCCATGATATATGTATTTAAATTACAACCAGTATGATTAGTAGTCACAACAATCAAATCTAATTTAGTTTGTAAAATTGAACCTCAACACGCACAATCAAGTTACAATTTAAATTAATAACCTAATTTAAAGGGTGGACGATGTTAATTTAATTGTATATAACTAACCACAATTAACTGTTACACTTTTCTGGTGGTTTCTTTGCTTTGTATATGTCACAATTAAGTTAATTAATAAAACACTTCTCAACAAATTGATTAACCAAAACTTGTTAATAAAAAAAAATACAAATTTGATTCAATGCAACTTGAAATATAAAGTTTATTATGATTAGTTAATTACAATTAACTTCACCCATGTTGATTGTTGGGCGATTCAAGGTGTGACTTGTGTAATAAATTTTCATATTGATTAGTTGATTACGATTTGATTTGATTTTATTATTAGAGTCGGAAACGTTTCTTGTTACACTTAATTGTTACCGAAAACTTTTCAAGTTCAATATTTAACCTTTGCTAATTGTAAATATCATAGCGAAACAATTAAATAAATTGTATCATTAACATGAAGATGTTAATTGAATTTATTAATAATTGTATGTACACTTAAAACAATTACCTTAGTGTTGTTGATAATTAAAATTAAATTAAAACTAATCAGAAAGTTCAATTATGAAAGTGAAAGTTTTTTGCTTATGATTAATGATCATTTCCATGTATTAATCATGGTAATTAAATATTAGACAATTAAACAACAGCAAAATTTAACTATTAATTGTAAATACAATTTTCGGAAGCTTTTCTTTTTAATTGTATTTTGTTTACCTGTTGATTATTAATTGTAATCAACGTTAATTGTTCCCAACGCCTACTACGGTATTAAGTAATTAATTGTTACAACATTGACCTTCAAATTATTACATTAAACCAGAAATAGATTGTGAATTCTTGATTAAATTGTTCCTGTTGTTAGTTAATAGCTCTTGATTTTTGTTGTAATTTAATCCTAATCACAACAGGGAATCAAATGATTAAGATGATTAGTTCAATGGGGAAACTTGAAGATTAAACATTTCCAGTAACAATTTAGTTCCGTAAACAATTGATCAGCTGATGAAGATACCTAATGTTGATTAAAGTTAAATCATCAAATGATTATTGTTAATTGTTGAATTAGTTAGTTAGTTAGACTATGATTTAAATTCATTAACTCGCTTAACGATCAACAATTAACATTGTGATCAAACTTTGTCCTTGATTTTTTTTTGTTACTCTCACGATTAACTTTAAGATCCTTAATTGTTATTAGGATATTAAAATCATTTTTATTAATTAAATCAACTAATTGCTTAACACTTTCTGATTACTGCTGTTGTTTTATCCCTGCGGTTAAATTGTACAATGAAGATATTAAATTGTATGATTAATATACATTTATTTTCAAATGTTCATCTCGGAAATTACAATTAACTAACATGGGAATTTGATTAATTACAATTGAATTCGTTGATTCAGTTTAAATTTAATGTAACTTTAGTCTGAAATCAATTAATTACAATTCTTACAATTTTGATTAACTTTTTTTTCAACTCTTTAACTTTCAATGACTTTTGATTTAGTTTTAATTCAGTTACGAAAAAAAAACAATTTCTGTTCAACTGCCAAACTATTAAGATGAAAAATGAATTAAACCCAATTAACATTACAATTTGTTAATTATAACGATGATAATTTACAATTTATGATGATTAACTCCACAGTTTGATTGCAATTTAATGGTAATCATTGTTGTTCCCGTAAAAGTTAATCAACATGATTTAGTTGTTTGTTTATTTCGTTAATTTTAATCAACTAATTTTCAATTGTAAACTTGATTTTTAGGTAAATTGTGTGTTCCCATAATCTAAACTAATCATCAAATTGTCACAATCAATATTCATTATTATTACTTAAATCCAGTTCTTAAAGTTTCCTGTTGATTTAATTTTCATCTCTGCAAAGTTATTAATTGTAATCATTATCAACTGTAACTATATTTACTTTTGATTGTTGACCTTTCACCGGATTAACTAATAGTGATCAAGTTAAATCACTTCCTCATTTCTGTGAGTTTTTGTCAAAAAATATTCTGACACAATAAGCTGATGATTTGTTTTAATCATTAATTATGGTACCTTAATTGTGGGTGAATCTTCAATCAATATAAACGATAATTAAGATTAAATCATCATTAATATTGATGATTAACTGCATGAAATAATTAATCTGGTTGTTAATCATCTTCCGATTGGGAAAAAAAACAAAATGATAAACAATTAATATTAAAATTTAGAAACTCCTCTCAACTACTATAACAATTAAGACTAGAAAGAGTGAATCAAATCAACTAATTAAACTTTTACAATTAATCGTTGCTATCATAATTTAAATTGTAATATAATGTTAATTTTGATAAACATACTAAATTGTAAATGATTAACTGATTGTGATAATTGATGATTAAACCAAGAAGGATTCAAGTTAACACCAAGTAACTTTTTTAATGAAAAGTTAATTAAGTCACAATTTTAATTGTCAATTAATTTCCGAGCACAATCAAAGGTGCCAAAGGAGGAGGAGTGAAAAACAATTAGCACAATTAACACATAGAGAGAGAGAGTTTTAAACTTAAACCATACAAATTAACTCACAAGACAATTAAATATAATAGATAACCGGAAAGAGATTCATATTTCCGGTCATTACTTATCATCATCATCATCCTGTTGGTCAATGTCCAGTCAGAGTAATGAAAAAAATTCTTGTCTCTGGTCATCATGTTGACAAGTGAATCTGTTCAATATCATGATGATGACTTGATATCATTAACCATGAATAATGAAAGTTGATTGTTGAACTAAATTAATGAATAAAGTTGATTGTTACAATTTAATCCTTTCAACAATTTGGCAGCAATTTAACAGTTACGATAAACAGAAAGTATATTAGATTTTTTTTTCTTCTTAATTCTTAATCATCCAGAGAAAGTGTTTAAAAAACTTCAACTTGATTTAGCTGATTAAACAATTTAAATTGTTTGGGTCATTCAACTAAACTTTTTTTCTGCTTCTCAACAATTTAAAATTTCAACTAGGATTTAGTTTGAAATCATGTTGATTGTAATAATTTTCCTTTGATTACTATTTCTAAATGGTTGATAACCATTTAAACTTTAATAGACAATCTAATCTATGGCTCTCTTTTTTTTATCCCGTAACAATCAGTAAATTGTTACTGTTTCTGTTCACAATTTATATATATATCATTTTCCTAAAGGTGAAAGTCAATTCAACCTTTAGTATTTACTTCAACTACTGAACACTTTAAATGTCATTAGTGTTAATCATCATCACTTAATTGTCGTTTCAATACATTACAATGGTAAACAATTACATTGAACTGTAATCAACCGTTTGAATTTTTTTCTGTTACTTTCCAACTTTCACAATTAACAGGTAGCAATTTATAAATTGCTACAGAAAAGTAAAATTGGTTTCACCGTTTAAACCTCGAGATGAGATTTTTTATATTAATTAGAAGTTTTTTCTCTCTCTCTCTCTCTCTCTCAATGATTAACTAATTGTTCTCGATGGATTAATTTCAGGTGGACCTTGTGATCAGAATGATTTAAGTTTTGAGCTAATTACGGGCTTTGTTTATTCATCTTCATCGGAATCAATTGCAACTATACCGGGAACTTTACGATTAACTGATTGTCTCAATAGATGCCGATCCAATTCAACTTGTCAATCGCTTAACTTTGAGACGGGACTTTGTGTCCTTTTTAGTACCAGTGCCTCTAATCGTCCAGCCTCATTGAATAAATCACATTTTCCCGTGTTTACAATTTATGCACAGAAAATTTGTCTTGGTGTTACAATTGAACCGGTCTGCCAAAAATCGTGGGTCTTTGAAACTGTTCCAAGTCATATATTGACCGGTTATACCTCTAAATTGGCCTCATCTCCGACCAAATCAGATTGTATGGTTAAATGTTACACTGAGACCAGTTTTCAATGTCGATCAGCTAATTACAATCGAGCTACCGGTGAATGTAGTTTATCAGAAATGGATCGACATTCAATTGTTACACCATTTAGTACCGATCGTCACTTCAGATCAGCTCCTGGTCAAGAATATATTGAAAATAATTGTATTCAAGGTAAAAAAAAACGATCAATCAAATGACGATCAATAAATCAATCAGCTAATCAATTTCTAATCACTTATTTTAGAGCCTAAAAAATTGTGTGAATTTAAAACGATACGAGGACGATTATTGAAAACTGTTGATTCAGTTTATCCGGAGATTAAATCAACTGATGGATGTCGAGCTAAATGTTTACAATCAGAATTTCGTTGTTTCTCATTTGATCTTGGAGATCCAACAATTAGTAAAGTTTGTCGAATCTCTCATCTTGATTCATCATCAACTAATCACATAAACGATGCTTATTTTGAGATTCCTCCAGCAGTTTCCTATGAGCTTACTTCTTGTTACGATGGTAATAAATCAGCGACAATTGATTAACCTGACAAAAAGAATAACAATTAAGACTAATCATTGATATTCCCTCTTTATTACATTATTTATATTAGTCGATATTGTTTGCCGATCTCGAGATATGCTGACCAGAGTTCGAACCAACAGGATTTTCAATGGTAAAATTTACGGTAAATCGAAGCCCAATTCCTGTGTAATGGACATTAACAATAGTCTATCATTTGAATTATCGTTGGGCTATAATGATGTTGATTGTGCTGTTAAACGTGATGATGGTGCTAAATATACATCAGAAATTGTCCTTCAACATCATGATTTAATTGTCACCACCAAAGATCTTGGCCTATCTGTCCAGTGTTCATATGATTTGACCAATAAAACTGTGGTCAATACCGTTGTCTTTGAATCAGATGGGTAAGTTGATCAACAATAGTTGACACTTTCTTTCCGTACAAATTGTCACCAATTAAGTTGATTACAAAATGCAAACTTTTACTGTAAAATAATTAAGATTAACAATCAAGCCCCATGTCCAATATTGAAAGTATATGATCAGCAATTATTAAATTAAACGGCGGAAAAGTAATCATGATAACTTTCAACACAATTAGATTTATTTTTCATTCTCACCACAACTTTTAATAAATCAAATCAATTGATTCAGTAATCAAGGATTAACTGATATCCATTGATCAACCTTAGATCAGTAATGATAATATTGATTTTCCTGATTACTATTAATAATAACGATTGTAAATCTAATAGTTTACAATTTAAACTTTCCATTTCATGGTCAATCAATCATCAAATCTTTAATCATCGATGATAATTAACCTTGACCATCAACTTCCTTTGGTCAAGTTAAAGTTTTTCCACTTTATGATTAAATTTAATTTCTTTCCATCATATTAAATATACTTTCCTTCCTGTTTATTTAAATAGTAAAAGCAAAATAAATCATAATAATTAAAACATCAACAAGTTAATTAGTTACATTGATTAATTGATTCTTACACTTTGTATTAAGTGCTAAGGAAAAATCAACGGCCAGTATTTAATAACAATTTAATTTTTCTCATAACTCAGTTAATCACTTTTTAATCAGTCTAAAGATTTTTTAAATCATTATCATTAATATTTAATTCATCATTTAAACTGGATTAAAATTTGATCTTTTAAATTGTCCCATTAGTTTGTTGATTGTTCAACATTCAATTGTTAAAGTTGAAGTCTTGTTTTTTTTTATTACATTTCTGTAACTTTGTCAATCAAGGGTTAACCATTTCAGCAAACAACAATTAAATTTGATTTACTTTAAATTGTTATTACCCTGAATCTAATTGTTGACCAATCGTCATCATGATTTGGTCAATGAACCTTAATTATTTACATTGGATAAAGTTAAATAAACTCATTAGTTGATGTTATTAATAATCGAGTTGGTTAAATAATGAATGAAAAAATAAACAAGTTGTGATTAACATTGAAATTAATTTGCTTTCTCTGGGTAATTACAATTAACTAATCATGTAAACAATGATTATATTTATGTATATTATCAATGGTTAACAATCAACTTTTGTTTTACAACAATTTAAAATGATAATAATACATAACATTGAGAAAGATTTATTTCCTTGAGAAATTTAAATTACTCCTTTAATTTTGTTTTGTAATCAACTAAATGGTAACAATTAACATGGAGTAATTAAATCTTGTGTAATCTTTTATATTGTTTGCACACAATTGTAATTTTTAATTGTTAACAGTTAACAAGGTTTTCAAAGTTAATTGCTAATATGATTTACTTTGGTTTCTTTTTGTTATGTCATATTCAAAATCTAAATCAAAAGTAAAATTAAATTAATCATTGTTGTTATTTTCTTACAATTTGTTAATTGTTCAGTGAGATAATTGGTGCAGCTAAAGATGAAAGATTTGTCCACTCGTCGATCGTTGATTCCCCGAATGTGACAATTACCGTTACCGATAGACTTGGATCTCCAATTCGAGCGGCAAAGATTGGTGATCAATTAACTTTACGATTTTCAATTATCGATGAACCTTCACCGTATGAAATTTTCATCCGTTCATTAGTGGCCTCCGATGGAGTAGATGGAAGTGAAATTGAACTTATCGGTGCCGATGGTTGTCCTATTGATATCGCCGTGATGGGACCAATATCACGAATCAAAGGAGCGGCCAAAACCCTTGAGACAACCTTTGAAGCGTTTAAATTTCCGACCTCAGATATTGTCAACTTTCGAGCGGTAGTATCACCGTGTTTGGCCAAATGTCAGCCGATCCATTGTTTCTCGGATGGTTTTGATGGTTCAACCCAAGAATCATTTTCCTATGGTAAACGAAGACGAAGAAGACGAAATGTCCACCAATCGACACCACCACCAACAGAACAAGATCTAATTGTCCTACAATCGATTCGTATTCAAGATGGTTTCGATTTCATCGAAGGTAAAAATCAACCCAAACAAACACCAACCAAACGAGATGGACGATATGATATAATTAAAGGTAAGCCAAACAATCAAGTTAATAAATTATATTCCATTAGAATTAATTATCGATTAATTTGTTGACGTTTACCTTTTAACTTTTCAGACTCAAAAAGTATTCCAAATGAATTGAATTTATCTTCTCAATCATCGTACTCATCATTTAACTGCCTAACATATACTGGACTTGTATTAATCTTCAGCATTTTATTGATCACACAAATTGTTGTCCTAATTGCTTGGTCAATTTGCCGTTCATCTTGGTCGAGAAATGATCAACTTGAAAAATTAACTCTATCACGATCATTAACATCGACTAATCTATTAACAGCTAAATCCAATTATAACCACAATTTACATCATCATCATGGTAATTTTTCCGATAAATGTTTGACCATTCAACCATTTACCACGAAAGGATCAGCTTCATCCTCATCCTCATCACCATCACCTTCATTTGCTAGTCAATTGTATATATTACAATCAATGGATAATAATAAGTACCGTTAGAATCTGCTTTTAATTAGATTCTAATTGAAAAATATTGTTATTTATTCATCATTTGAATCACTTTTTTTTATACTTCTTCATGTCCATCTTTTTGTGCCAGTTTGATCATTTGACCAATATAACGATTGTTTCCTATTTGAGGAACAATTAACCATAACAATCAACAACAATTGACTTAATTAAATCATCTTGTAACTAAACCTCAATTAATCAATGTAATCAAATGTTTTCTTCAGTGTAAATCCTTAATGGAGAAGCATTTTTCCCCCTTTTACTTTTAATTGTAAATAACATTTTCCAATCTAATATTTTCGCCTCGCATTTAAATGTCCAACAACGACAACAATAATTACTATTATCAGGCGAGCTCAGAATCTCCCGAAGTGACCACTTCTGATGGGACAAGAGTTGTTGACAATCCATTATTTGATAATCCTGAAAAGAGTTTAATCATCGCAACAATAACTTTAATATTCCTCATTATCCTTTTATTGATACTTTGTAAATTTCGTTTTGGTTCAAATAATGTTGGTCCAGTTTCGTCAAATCAACAAGCTGATGGCAATGTCGGCCGTAGATGGCCGATGCTCGGTCCAAGACCTAAGGTGCAAAGTGAACTTTCTGAAAATCAAACGTATCCCCGATCACTTTCAACCAAATCGCTGTCCACTACAAGCCCAATATTACAAACATCAAAAGTTGTTGGACTTTCGAGTAACATATCACAAGGACCATCATCGACATTGAATCAATTTCGTATAAAATCATCGGCTTTTATTCAAAAACTTGTAAATTGGAAAGCAGATCGACTTGATGTTACATCTAAATGTCCGGAAAAATTTAACTCGATTAAAGTCGATGAAACTATCACTCGAAGGACGGAAAGTCCAAAATGCAAAGAAATCGTAACGTTATTACCAATTGTTTCACCGAATAAAATTATCCCACAAGTTACTATGAAAGTGATACCAATAGTTGAGAAGAAAAGTAATCAAGTCTCGAAAATAAAGGTCACATCTCAGACCAAGGCCAATTTATCGACCAAGAAACGATCATCATCATCGTCATCGGCATCATTTAAATCAAAATCTTCCAAATCAACATCACCACCACGAATTTCAATGGAACAGAAACAAAGACCAAAACAAAAATCTAGAAAATCCAAAAGCTATAGTAAAAAAATGATTGGTCGAATTGGTAATTTGAATTAATCGGTAAACAATTAAGAGTAGCAAAAAAAACTAAAATGTAAACACAATTAAAATCGCAACACCAATCAACAAAGTTTGGTCCCGTTCCGAGTCTCTATGTGACCTATTTCCATGTAAATCCAAGCAAACCAATCAAATATTAATAAATTGTTTGTAAATATTTTCCATCAACATTTATTTTCCTAAATCTCAAATAATCAATCAATCACAATTAACGGTTAATCAGGATACTATTGATAATCAGCCATCGAGTTTTGTTTACTTTGGTAAACCATTTGAACTGTTAAACTGTGAAAAACACTAGAGTCGAAAAGAAAATTAAATTAATCATCTAATCATTTAAATTAAATATTCATCATTATAATTAATGGAATAACAATTAATTTAAAATTGTAATTGAACAAAAATGGAATCCGAAAAGAGCGGGTAACAGATCAGCTGATTGAGAATTTTTTTTCTCTCTCTCCATTTCTTACTCTTTTTTTTTGTTCTCACCAATGAGTCTAGTTGTTCACTCAATATAAAAGGTGTGTTTGTTTATTAGAATTGTGATTATGTGATTATTTGTATTCTCTGGAAACAATTAAAAGGTAAAGTTAATTGTTAATTAATTTGAATCAATCGGATGATTGTTACAATTTCTTTGGATCAATGTTAACCCTTTTCTATTTCTTAAGCCTTAAATTTTTTTCCATTTTGCTTGAGGCTTTTTTTTCTAGTCAATTAGTAGACGAAATCACTAATTGTTCAATTGATTAAATTGATTAGTTAATTAATTGATTGTTTTTCTTTCTTTCTCTATCCTGTTATGTTTATTTATGATGGTTTTGTTAATCATTTTCTCTTAATCTAATCCCAAGTTCAGCTAAATCTTAGCTGTCACTTTTTCTTACTCACCTTGATTCGTTTTTGATTACCTATTTTTGACTCTTCTTTCTTAATTTAATTGTTTCTACGACAATTTAAGCTTATTACTTGGTTCGCTTTTTTTTTATTAATCTCTCTCTACCCTTTCAATTTATTTTCTATATGTTTAGTTTGATTGATTTCTCTTTTTGTTTTATTAGCTCAATTTGATTCTAAAAAATTGTGAGTTCAATTTATTTCTCTCACCGGTTCCCTAACCTGACAATTTGGGTTAACCTTTTTAAATTTTATTTCCATTTCTTTTCTGCCTGTTGATTGATTGTTTATCTCTTTCTATTCTCATAATAAAATCTAATTAATCTCTTATTGTGATGAAATTCTCACCCTTTTACTTTTTCGTTTTATTACAGATTATATGCGATTTTTGACCTTTCAAGGATAAACATTTCAATTTCTATTCTAATTTGATTTTGGAACAACAAACACATACATACATACCTCAAACTCAAATCAACCAATAATTTGGATGCAATATGGAAGTAGATACAAATTTAGAAGGTAAGAATTAATTAATCCTCTTCTTATTATCCCCTCTTTAGAAACATAACTTTTCTAAATTCGCCTCTTGATTGAAACATTTAATTCTTAAATTGATTTCTCCATTTTATCTCACTCTCACTCTCACTTTCTCTATCCTTTGACAGATTATTCTGAGCTAATTGTCGATGCTCTGGTTAAAGGATGTATGGATGAACAAGAAACTGTCAGTAATCATGTTTGCAATATAATTGTTCAATATGGAAGTAAACACTGTTCCTTAGTTCTTGCAACTTGCCTTAATTACCTGCAAAAAGATGATGGAAGAGAGGTTTGTTCATCTAATCTAATTCAATCTGATTAAATCACTCACAATCCCTTTGCTAATTAACTCTTTTTTTCTCAAGTTCAAAACCCAATCAATTGATTTTCATTTGGATATTTTCCATTTTCCATCAATCTTCATGATGATAGTTTATCAAGATACATGATGATTTATAATATATTATAAATTTTAAATTAAACATAAGTAATTGGGTTACAATATGTTATGATTAGGATGATAAAGGTCATCATCATTTTCCAGTTTAATATTATTACCATGAGCCTATTAAATATTTCCCATATTATCATCATGTTTATTAGGATTATTTTTCCATAGTTATAATGATTACCTTGCGTGGCTGCGTAATGTTTTATTGTCAGTTGATGATTAACTTAATTGTTCCACATCATATTAATCCAGCTGGAGAATTGTTTAAATGAATTCATTATATTCCAATGAATATTTTTTTTGCTGATTTTCCAGTATATGTATAATACAATTAACTCCCTCCATTTAGCAAATCTATGATGTGATTTTCATTACTCATTAATCTTATTATTTTGTTTTTGTTTTCTTATTTTTAATTTACCCTTCAGGTACGAGTTATAAGCAAGATCAAATTGATGAGCAGTATCGAAAGGGTTTGCATTGAGTTTCTAAATAAAATTGATCCCAATACTCGAGACTCATTGACTAAATTTTGTATCACCGTTATCAACAAAGATTTAGAGGAATTAACTGATTATGAAAGATACGCCAGTGGAGTAATTGTTTGTTTGAGTAAAAATCAGACAACCGATATAATGGATAAGCTTCTTGCCCAATTTGAGCCTCATTCATCACCTCCAATTGGAATATGTAAATGTCTTGGTTCCATGGCCACAGCTAATCCATTTGGAATGATGGGTTATATTAAGGCTCTCCTTGGATCTATGGTTTCCATGATAACAGTTATTCGTAAAGATGTTGTTCGAATTTTCTTTTCCGATTGTGTTGGCCAATTTGCTGAATCTATCAAGGAATATTTGTCCAACATTGATCGAGCTCCAGATCCAGCGGTTAACAAGTCTTACTTTACGGCGGAAATTGATGCACTTTTTGAAGCTTTCTATCATGAATGGCTTAATTCTCGTAACAATCGAGTTAAAGAATCTGTTATCAAAGCAATTGGAAATATGATCTCACTATTAAGTGATAAAACATTTAACGAGGGTGTACCACGTTTCATTAATTCACTTCTTCCTATGTACCGTCGGCCAACGGTTTCACTTCCATTGTCAACCAATGATTTTGAGATTGTCTATTCTTCCCAAAGTTTACATCAAGCTCTTGAGTGTATCATTGAGAGAGGATCACCCAATTTAACTCGACCTCAAATGGAAACAATTGTCAATATCCTGTTCACCCAAACATGTGCCTTACCCGATTATCAACAGCCCAATTCAATTCGTAATCACAATGAGATTCTCCGGTCATTTGCAACCCTTAATTCAAAATACAGTGAATACCTGATTCCATGGTTACTTGCTAAACTTGAATCCAGCTCAGAATTGGCGAAAATTGGTTCCCTTACCATTTTAAAGCATTTAATTAATGCCTCTAGTCAATTTATTGTTCCCCGTTTATCAGCAATATTTAAATCACTTCGTCGTATTTTAGATGAAGAAAATAATCGAGTTCGTCGAGCAATAACTCAAGTAATTGTTACAATCGCTCACCATGGTTATCTTGATTTGGAGGGTGGACAAGCTCTGATTAAATATATTATCACTCAATGTGCTCTAGAAGAGGAAAGTGAAGAGGATTTGGCTATTCGAAGGTCATCAACTGATGTTGATACGGTAACAAATAAAGATTTACGTACAATGTCTGACAACGTGATGAATTTACTTGTTACCACCGTAGATGATATTGAACGAGTTCTCTGGCCTCATCTCTTTGAGTATCTTGTACAACCCGAATACACGGAAGCATTACCCACCCTGTGTAAATCATTGAATCTAATGGGTGAGAAGATTAAACGTCAAGATTCAACAGGTCGATTACTTCAATCATATTTCGAGAGGA